TATTTTTTCATTTCATCGTGTTTGATAGTAAAAAAGAAACTCTTAATGAATTAAACGACGCTTAACTACATCACAAAATATAAGTAATAAAAATTAGCTTATTTCTTATTCTGTAACTGTTTAATGATTTCAATAGTTCTAATTTAGTATTAGACATTCAGAATTAAACAATAATTTTTATCAAACAGGTCCTAAGTAAGTATAGTAGGTATGTCAACTGTAAAAAGAACATATTGGCCCACAAATTTGGCAATTGATAAATACAGAGCTATTTTTGTTATACAAAGAGCAAAAAAATTTCAATTACCCATAATACCCTTACATAAAATTCAAACACATCCAATGTAATTAATTTCCTTTTTTCCTCCCTTCTTTTATGGTTCATATAAAAGTTTAAAATAAATATTCCAAGTCAAAGCCAAAAAGAAAGCTTGTGGTCCTTTTTTCCATTCTCCTTTTCAGTTAGGAAACATAAAAATAACAAAGCCCCCACATCAAATAACAGTTATTTGAGTATTTGGGCGGAGAACAAAAAGAAATCATGAAAATCACCAACATAAAATAATTCACTTGCCAATTTCTAAGCAAATGATGACAATTCGATGCACCTCACAAAAATTAATCTATGAAAAATCCCTCTATCAGTGATAGGTTCTCAAAAAAAAAGAAAAGAAAAAGTTATCAACAACTAATTTATATCAAATCCTAATATTTAAGAACAAAAAATTATTAATATATTCCGAGCGAAAACAACTCTGTAATTCAGTTATTTTTCCTTGGTTCTTGATTTAAAAAAAAATTATTGTTTACTTTTCATTATTTAAATTTTTTTTATTTTTTTTAAATTTGAAATTTAAATTTTTCACTGTAGCCCGGTAAAATTATAAATTTACTATGGGCCCGGGGTTAAAATATAGAATAATTACTGTTTACTTTTCATAATTTGATTTTTTTTATTTTTTTTAAATTTGAAATTTAAATTTTTCACTGTAGCCCGGTAAAATTATAAATTTAATGTGGGCCCAAGGTTAAAATGTAGAATAATTACTGTTTACTTTTCATAATTTAAATTTTTTTATTTTTTTTTAAAATTTGAAATTTAAATTTTTCACTGTAGCCCGGTAAAATTGTAAATTTACTGTGGGCCCGGGGTTAAAATGTAGAATAATTATTGTTTACTTTTCACCTAAGATAAATGATAAATGAAAAAACTATTTTTTAAAAAATATAAATTTTAAAATATTATAATAATATTTTAAATTAATAAAAACTATTTAAATAATTTAAAATATGACTTTTTTAATATTTTTAATAATTTTAATTTGATGGAAGGTCAAATTATGTGAAAGGACGAAAATACCCCTGACCCCGGCAAGTCAACTGCCGGTCAACATCGAGTTGGACGGAAATGTGGTCGAAACAGTAAAATGGGACCAAAAAAGTGTGAACACATAATGTTTGGGATGACAATATTGAAATGTTAATGTAAGGGACGTAAATTCAAGTAAGGGCAAATGTAAGGGACCATTTCAACATTTTACTCTCTTTCCTTTGTCCTGAAATTCAAGGTTTACCAATGTTTCACTAACAAAGCTGAAGGTATTTTATTCGTAGGTTACCTTATACTCTTACTTGCCGATAGAATTCAGGAACACATGCAGAAATTAAATATCACCTCAAGAGCAGTTAATTGCTTTCCTTGATGTTTTAATGCTCCATGAAAACTACATGTTGCTAGATCTTTTCATCCTTCGTAGGCATCTTAATCTCTGAATACGATGCTAGTATTTACTATAAGGAATTGAGAAAATGATAGATTCAGATCGGATTGATGCTTCTTGTAGGAAGATGTTGGAAAGAAGCCATTAGCTGTGTAATTGTCAGAACTCTTTTAGAAACAGTAGAAAATCGGTCAGGGTGAGTGGGAGTTTTGGAAGCCAAGGGAAGTAAAGCTTCAAGGCAGATGAAAGCGTGAAATATGTGGATTCTTAAGAAGCTTTTAATCTCTTATTTTTGTTTTCTTCTCTCTTTCACTTATGGACCCTTATTCAACAAGAATATAAATCACCAAACAGATGCTTTCGGATTACAAAATTTTTTTGGAAGGTTTTCCCTTTTCTGTTCTACAGTATGATTTCCTCGGTTGGAGCAGAGATTTGCCACAACATTGAAGGCAATAGAAACATGTAAGTGATGCCTATACTTCTCATTTATTATTTTCCAGACAATGCTTGCTTGATCATCTCTTCTTCATGAGCAATAAAACTCTTTCATGTCAAACGTTGCTTTTCCACTCATCTACCTCTCTTCCTGCATTCTAAAGTAAGCCTTGCAAGTGCTGTTCATGGCAGTATAAGCTACTACCATGAATTGCTTTTGGAGATAAAGGAAGAAATTGCGAGCAAAGAAATCTTTTTTAAAGAGTTTTTAGAAAATAACAAAAGGCAGTGGTAACTTCGTATTTTACATTGTTGATGTGTTTATCTGTGCTGCTTCAGTAAGAAGGATTTCTATCAGAATGAACTAGATGAATACTTGATTTGCCCTCACAACATCTGCTGAAGGAGAACATTTGAATATCTTTAGCCCTTTTTAATGGAATTCAGTGGAGATTGCAAAAAACTCTGTCGAACTATTTTCAAATTGCAAAATGCCCTTTGAACTTACATTTTCAGCAATCAATATTTTTAACTTATATTTTTGAAATTCTTGTCCAAATTCAGTCCCGCCTTTAAATGTTGATAATAAATGTCTGGCGAAAAATTTCATTTCGCCAGCCCTATGGAATCAGCTGATAAGGGTGAAAAATCCAGAGCCAGGACCAGTTCGAGGCTGAGGCTTGGCACTTACGGGACACTTTCTTCAATAATTCCATGTTTTGTAATCAATATCTGCTTCACTTTAAAGCTTGTACACGATGCTTTTGTTTTAGATCAATCAAAATGGTTCATTCCATCATAGAAGTGTCTAAAATCTCGTCATGGGAATGCAAATGGCTCCAGACACTTGGAGAAGGGTTAAGATATTCATTACTTTTTTGGAGGCTTGTGTAAATATTGGTTCAACATGTTTGGGGTTAGTTTGTGCACATGGTGGATAGAAACACTTAGCAGTTTTGGGATGAATAAACTATGTTTGAATGCTTATGGAGAAAGATGAAAGAAAGGGATTTTGATATGACATTTTCAAAAAAAGTTTGGGTCAGGTCTGGATTAGATTTCTAAATGAAAAGTTTGAGACAGTTGATTGGTGTTTGCCAATCAAAGCATGGCTTTATTTTTATTTGGGTGTTTTCCAATCAAAGCATTGTTTTATTATGGTTGTCATGGGATATTTTGCAATTTTCTATACAGTTTACCATGCCTGTTGTTAGTGATTATTTGAACTAGGTATGACCAAGGTTACGGTTTGAACCGGAACCGGACCAGAGTTTTCAAAATTGGGACCGGAACTGGTACTAATCAGAACCAGAACCTTCACTAGACGGTTCGATTAAGGTTCATCCATTGAAGAAACCATGAATAGGCAGTTTAGTTATCTGCTACCTTTAATTAAAATAATTAAAAAAAGTATATCACATATATTACTGCATTTTATATCTTTTCTACGATATTCAACCCTAATAGTTCATAACTTCATATCAGTATATAGTATATTTAAGGGGTTACACTTTTTTTACACATATGCTTGAGTAATATTGATATTTTCTCACTGCTCATCTCATCTTCATTGCTTTTATTTCTGTTTAAAATTTGATATATTATAATCATTTTAATTAGATCAATAACTAATTAGTCGATAGATATGAGATTCAATAGTAAGACCAATAATATGCTTTTGGTAATTTTTCACAAAATTTCATTCAAATCAAAATAGAATTGCATAAATTAGAAGCGAACCATCCCCACCCAAGAGAAACCGTGAACCAACTGGAACTGGTGGTTTATAAACCGAAACATAAACCTTTTACTGAAGGTTCTCTCTTGGTTCCGTCCTTTCATGAACTGTAAACGGTGGTTCGTCAATTGTGCTGATGCATACTTTCAACAACTATAATCATTGTTAAAAATGCTTTTCTAAAGATTCATTGCAAAAATTACATCTTCCTTTTCTGTTTTGTCTAGATTATTCTCCCTTAAAACATTTTGGTTAGATATGATTGCTTGTATGGTTATGTTGAGTTTTATCATGCCTCTGGCTTTCCAAATGATTGGCTTTTTTTGCCCCAGACTAGAAGCTTGGCTTCCTGCCCTGACACTGGATTATCATAACGGGACCTTTGGGTGAGTGAGATTAGTACCTCTGTGCCGTTGTGTTTTAGAACTTTGCATGCTCTTAGCTATGTTTGTGTAATCCTTTTATACATTTATCGTGTGTATGCTTGCGTCTTTCTTTTAGTTATGTTTTATTAGAACCTGTACTGATGTTTTCCGTTTGCTGACTGTCGCCTTTGGAATTTTTTTTGTGGCCATTCATTTCCCACGTGGAAACTGTGACCAGCAGATCCCTACTTGTTAAGTTTCTTTCGTATGCAATTTTGGCTGATGATGATTAGAAGAATAGAGTCTGTTTCTCTTGACCATGAAACCTCACATGCTGACTTGACGTTCATTTATCTATGGACTGGCTTAACCATTACCAGTTTAGAATGGAGCTTTTTCGAAATTTATATAATCCTTTAAGCAATTTAAGTGCTGAAATATCATTATCGCTGTAAATGTATGTCGAGCTCCTTATAAACATTCATTTCAAAATTTGCTTCTTTTGTTGTGTTTCTTCTACAGTGGTCGTCCTTTATGAATTGTCGGCTAGAGATGATTGCTTCTATTCTTAACTTGTGTATTATTAAGCTAATTGTTGTTTGCGTTGAAGTCTATTTCAGTCGTAAATATTTTACTCTCATGTTGCTCAAATTATTTTTTTATTCAATTTAAAACTTCTATAGGCGGTTAAGCCTGAAATTGCTGTTTTGTATCTTAAATAATAGAAACAAAGAAAGTATGCCGTCTGAGGGAATTGCTGCGTATAACACTGCTCCTGGTTCTTCATCTTCTGATGATGAGATTGAACCTGATATTGATGATGGAGGTCCTTTTGTGACGCCATTTTATCACATGGTTGATTGCAAAAAGATTGTCAACTATGCGACATCTGCAATGAAAATGCTCGGTGAAAATATGGTCTGTCCCCTCCCTCTTGTGTGCCTTTGTTCTTTCAGTGGTGTCTTCATGTGTACAGAGGTTAAGTTCGTACTCTTTCTTTCAGGGCAAAGAAATTGTCTCAAGGAGGTGTTGCATGCAAGGAAAGAAGAAGTCGATGGCAAGGTCTTTTACATTTTATTGTTGAAGGTGATGAATGAGCAAAAGTTCAATTTTTTGTATGTCATGTTTGAAGTGTCTCGATGCAAGGAAGAGCTGATCAAGTGGCATTTGGTTTGATGAGTTTTGAGTGTTGTTTTTACTATGTATTGTCAACATGGTATTGCAAGGATAATGATTGGTTAAGGAAAAAATGACAAGGAAAAATAACTAGGAATTGATGATATTTATTCATTTTTAAAATTTTTTATTCGGGATTTAAGCATTTAAAGTTAGGGCATAACTTTAATGAATGACACATCATTCCTTGTAAGTTTTCCTAGTAATTTTTTTTTTCTGTATTTATCACTACTCGTATTGCAAATAACACTCAAAAATCTAATTTATAAGTTATGATCACTTTTGTAATTTTTTTTTCAAAACATGACTTGTAAAATTCAATTGGCAAGAACCAAGTTATAATTACAAGAAAATGGTTGTAGCGATATTAATGTAATAATAACTTATAGTTATAGTTAACTAATTTTTTGTTATGATTCCATTATAATAAAATAAGTGCCATTCCACGATTTGTATACAGTTTGAAATAAATGCTTGTCAATAATATCATTTTTTAAAGGGTAAGTTTGAAAATTTTGAAAATAAGTTGCCAATAATATCATTTCATTTAAGTGTAAGTTTGAAAATTTTGAAAAAAAAAAGTGCATTGGAGTGGGAGAAAAATACTTATGTTAAAATTTTTTTATTTTGTTAAAACGATACTTATTTTGGAATGGAGGAGTGTTATTATTGAAAAAGAAGGTAGGAGAAAACAAATGGAGAAAACAAATTAGACTAAACTACAGTACATATCAAGTTGAAAAAATGAAAATTTTTAAATTTTTTTTTATCGCTTCTTTCAAGCAATGAAATAAATAATAAGGATATACTACATATTAACACGAGTTACATTGTTACATGCTAAAGTATATAAATATATTTCCTTTTTGGGTCAAATCAAATTTTATTTAAGTTTTTTAGCCGAGAAAAAAAAAACGAAACATAGAAGAAAAATATGACACCTAGTCTTCAATATATGACAAATAGTACACAGATTAAAGCAAATAAAAACTATCAATAATAAAAACGTGAAACTTTCGTGTTGAATAAAATGCAAAGAAAATAAACATTAAAAGATACGAGTACATATATTTAATAAATAAATTTGTGCTATAGATAAATGAAAAAAGAAACTAGTGCTGAAGATGGTAATTTCATTTATCTATATAGCGCAAAAAGAAACTACTTGAGATATATTTTGGACCATTTTTCAAAAGTTTCCTCACTAATCAATTTGGGTTGACTTAGTCGATGTAACGGAAAATGACAGCCGACCTTCGAGCGCCTGCCGCAATCTGCAGACACAAATTACCAACTACTGTACATTAACTCAAAACACAGGGTAGAAAATCAGGAGAATCAACGAAACAACATTTTAAGGGTTTCAAGGCTACAGAACTTGGATGCATACCCCTATTTCTTTCCGGGAGGGCCAGAAAATAATTCCTCTACCACATGCCACTTGATTGATTCTTCTTTCTTCAGTTCCGATACTTCAAGCATGGCATGGAGAAACCTGTACTCCCTTCTGTCATTGATTGCCTTCAACATTAAAATGTAAACCAACTTGCCATCAATGTATTCTTTGCTTGCATGTAAGACTTCGGCAAGGCAGAGTTTTTGCCCCTGTACCACAGTAAATTAGTGTTGGAGCCCAAAAAAACCAAACACATGCAGAAACTCAACTTTATACTAGTTTGATAAATACGGACCATCTTTTCTCTGTAAATTTCCACAGCAGATGCAGCATAGTAGGCAACCTTTCCACAATGAATCATGTTATAAACCGGGACAACATCAGTGGGGTCTATATGATCATCACTTGAAGACGAAGAAGAATCAGGGACGTTCTGAATGCTTTCCTCAGAGTTCATAGTTTTTCTAGCCGGATCAGGATTTTCTAGGGAGAGACCACGCTGTGATTCCCTGCCCAGAATGGTAGTCAGTACGTGAAACTCTAAACCCAAATGGAAGACAGATTGATGATCTAGTCACATCACATGTTCAAGAGAAGAAACTTTAGCTACAGCCACCCCAATGAAGTTAAAAAAGCCTCGAGATGTTTATGGATAGTCAACTTAAATTTCCAAGTTGAAATTGAGAGAATTGGAAGCTATGTAAACAAAACAACTCCTTTAAGTATACTGTTTGCCAACCCATAGTCATCCTACATGTCTATTACAACATTTGAGTGCCTCTGATTTTTTCGGTGTCCTGTTTTGTGAGAATCTTTTGTACATTGTGACATATAAAAATATGTATAACATGTTTAAATTTCAAAAACTTCTCCGCATGAAAATTATATGTGTTTCAACACTATTAATCTAAAATTTAATGCTTTTCTATCAATTAAGGAACAAAACAATTATTCCAAGTAAACAGCCCAAAATAGGATGAAACACCAAAAAGAAGAACAAAATGAATTAAACAAAAGGAGGATCAAATACATAAGCCTCTTTTTAAATGAGATATATGCACAGTCACACTTCAAAGCAAACTCTAAATCATCAATATAAACGGAAACCGATTCCAATAAATTTTAACTGAAAGGATTGCATTTTGTTATAGATGAATACAACAAGAGCAGCAACAATATAGCCACTATATTCCAAACTCCACTGGGGTTTGAGTCAAGATATACGCAGCCTTACCCCTATATTTCAATGCAGGAAGGCTGATGCATTGGTGCGTTTGATATATTGATTTAGCAAGTTCACTAAACTTAAGAGGCCCCAGAATTTAATTGAGTCATTTTGATCTAGTCCGTTATTGGCACAAAGCTAAAAGAATGTCAATGATGGCTTTTCCAGCTCCATTTGAAGTGGAGATTTGTTACAGGTGAATATTTATGCAAAATATAGTGAACCTATGCTTAATGATTAAGCAAAAAGATGGTTACAAAGTTTGGTTGTCAGGTTGATCGACGGACAACAAAACTCTATGTAGGAGATACGTGCCCATAAAGGAATGCCAAGGTATCAGATAGTCAATGAAAAAAATGTCACAAAGATTCAGTCATTTGTATATCACATGCCATACCTAACACTCACAGGCAAGCTAAGGTACATGGGGAAACCAAAATTTCTATCAGTATAAGGCAATGAGCTTAATAATCTCAAAATAAAAACAAGCAATCATTTCTACCGGGAAATTCATCAAGGAAGAATAATGTAGAGAAAACAGAAGGGAAGAAGTGATTTTCAAAATGATAGCTTAACAGGAGCTCGAGGCACAATTTTTAGCAATGACAATATTTCAAGAACATAAAGGCTAAGAAGTGGTCGTCTCACTCACTCAGAGGTCATAGGGCTCGCATCATCTTTGTATCTCAGAGACACTGTGGGCAGAAACACTCTTAAACTGTGGGAAAGAAAAACAAATTTCCAATCACCACGATGTCATGAGTTCAATAAAACTCACAATAAGCATACAAGCACTCGACTCTAACTAAAAATTCATCGAGGAAAAATAATATGAGACTAAACAGAAAGCACAAACAGTACTTACAAATGCCTAGGGTCATGATGAGATATGTAGTACCCTTTTTTTTTGTTCATATCTGCACTGCAGAACAGAAAAGTATTTACTTCCAAAGCATGAGTAATTAGAGGAAGAAAAAAAAAATTAAATATACGTTGCCGTATAAGAATAATGAAGGATACAGAAGAAGATATATTGCTTCTCAAGAATTCACATGTTTATGCTTCGTGCAGCTGCTTTCAGTATAGGTCTTTCTTTAGCTTCAAAAGAGCCCAATCATTCTGATCAATTTATTATACTCTATTGTATCTAAACGGGTTATGTGTGATCAGAGTTCTAATGCAGATAATTGGTTCTTTCCAACTTTTTCCAAAAAGCAGCAATCAATATGTATCCGTCCTTTCATTATTTCTCTTGTAAATATTCAAACAAAAGAAATGTTACGGAAAGATCTAAAACTATCTAAGTAGCAGGACCCCAAGAGCAATTGAGAGGTTTTGTCGGCTATTAGTCAGAAAAAAGCAACATTATACTACCAAAGACCTATCCAAACATCAAAGTCCAATCTTTTATACCCGACCAAAGGAGCTGACCTAGTGTCATCTAAACATTCCAGGCTCCAACAGAATTCAGTAGTCTGAAAAAGAAAAGAACAAGAAAAAACCAACCTCAATTTGCGGAAAGGGTAAGAAAAGGAATCATCGACCAGTTGCCAATGGCGCAAACACTTCTTAGAAGGGGAGTCACAAACTTCGGCATAGTAAACATTTAAAACGCCATTCTCATCAGTTCCCTCAAAAGTTAGGTAATAATCATACCCGTGAACAGCCACCAATCTGCTTGCTCTGACAACCCTTTCGAACCGAATATTGCCGTCCCGGGTTTCATTGTGCTCCGACACGGCAAATTGAGCGGACGCTAAGGCTTCTTCGTGATTATTACGGAAAGAATACACACCTCCAAAGTATTGAGTAACCTCCTCCTCCTCCTCATCATCATCATGATCACCATCAACCTCGAACAGCAAGGGAGGTCGTAACTCGGATTGGCCGGTGTAATACCGATGATTGTGGTGGGTATGCAAACAGCAGCGGCGGCGGCTGCTGCTGCTGTGAAGTATGAAATTATGGGCAAGGATGGATTCGATACGGCTAACTGCATCAACACATCCAATTGATTCGCCTTAAAAAGTTGATGATGACGACGCCGGGCCACTGCCCATGGTTTGGCTCTGTTCAGCACGGCACGTAAGGCCATCAAGTTACACTCCGGTGAACAAGCTACGACAACGACGATAATTGAAAGGGTGCCGTCCTTCAGCAATGGGGTTGCCGCTACTTACGTTGTGCAATTTGCACTTTGCTGGGTCGGCCCACATTTATTGCTAGTAATATGTACACTCACTATCGAGTATGGACCATAGTCCGCTTCCAGTCACCCGTAAACAAGGGGAATAGGGGATACTGAATATAAAAATTTATTTTAAAAATAAAATTTATTTTTAGTCATTATTCAAATTTAATCTATAGAAAAACAGAAAAATTTCTTATTTCTAGAATCAAATAAAAAATGACTTAAAATTAAACTATACTAAATTCTAAGATTTTAATCAACCATTAAAATAAAATTTACTCTAAAAACATTTAATATTGAAACCTTTTAGTGCATTAATATTGGGGTGCAAACAATTTTGATATACAAAAATACTTAAAATATTTTATTTCTACATCAAATTTAACGTAAATTATAGTGCAATGATCGGAGATTCTCTCACTAGCAAAATCACATAAGTAATTTCAAACAGCTCCCCTCAAAACTTAAAAGGTCTAAAGAACTAGACATAGATTTAACTTCATCGAAGAAATTAAATACTACAAATCTCTCAGAAACTTTTTGAAATACCTCAATCAAATTGCACAACACATCGGGGGGAGAATGACCTTGTTCCGTGGTGTTATGAACAGAGCCAAACCCTTAGGATTGGGATGGGTGGGCCGGCGACATCTTCAGCTTCGTAGAACCGAGTCCGGCGGAGTCGTTGGGTCCACCGTTGCCGAGAATTGCAGCAGCTGTTTGGCGCCGTCTATTCCCGTGATTAATCAGTCATGCCTGCGACGTTACTTCTTACCACCTGCTCCGTCGTTGTGGATTCTTGGTGATCGTGCAGTATTCGGACGTCGTCATATCTTTGAATTGGACATTGAGTCTGTCTTGCCGGCGGCGGAATTTGCCGTCATGACGAACAATACGGCCGAGGTTGGTTTTCTTTTTCTTTTTTTTTTTTCCCCTAAACTATTATTACTCCTTCAATTTTACGGCGGTGCATTAAATTAATTGTGTCAGGAAGGGAAAATCCGGCTGGTGAGGGTGGTGAGAGCTAGCTACAAACGGGGTCGTTGCTATAAATATTACCTGACATTAGAAGGGATTGACGAGAATGACGACGACGATTCATTAAATGTTTATTATGCGGAAGTTCATGCTTTTGATACCACCAAACAGTTGCTCAAGTGGCAGCTGGTTGATCACTCCTTTTCTTACCCTTACTGGGAAACAGGGTAAGCGTTGGTGATGGAGTTCTCTAATTAAACTAATTAACAATTCCTTTTCGTTTTTACACAAACATTGAGGGGGTTTTTTTTTTTTTTTTAATGTGCTCAAATGCTTAAAGGGACTATCTTTCTTTGATAAGCATGCATGTGGTAGAATGCCTGTGGTACAATTCTGTCAGTTTTTCTTCAAATTCATTCACCTAAATTACCATAACGATTTCTCTAAGAGGTAGAACAATGTGAACAACTTGTTGAATAGCTTACCAAGTCTTAATCTGGATGCTTATTTAGCCAACACATTTCGGAGATTTTTTTTTTTTTTCCTTCTTCTTTTCTTATATGAATTTTTGTTTTAAAATAATTGTTGAATACATTTATGCAAATATTTGAGGTTTTGGAAAGAATTGATGAGGGGAAATGCGGTGGTTCTATGTTTTTTTTTTTTTTTTCCGAGAGGAATGGGACTGTGGTGAATTTCCTTGAACTATGTTCGGTTACTATATTTCCCTTTGCTTTCTTTTCTTTGTTACAACAGTTTTGCAAATGTTTCACTTACGAAGTTATATTTTCTCCTTGAATATTATTTAACTCTTACTTATGCTTCTGCATGTGCTCCTAAATTAAATCTTTCTTGATATAGAATTAGCTGATGCAGCTTACCTTGCTACACTTCCCCAAGAAACATGCCAGAACTTGAATATCACCTCATATGAAAGTGCAGTCGATTGTTATCTTTGCTGTCTTGCCACACCAGGAAAAATTGAAAACTATCTGTTGCTAGATTCATCCTCTGTACACATCTAGATACTAATATCTACTAAAAGGAATTGAGAAAAGTATAGATTCAGACTGATTTCTGTTTTTTGTTGGAAAGAAAACATTAGTCATTATTGTAGGAAACTTGATCAATGAAAGCCTGGGCACCAGCGCTTTTAGGGACACTACAAAAGTTGGTCAGGTTGAGTGGGATTTTGGAGGCCAAGCGAAGTTTAACATTTAGTTCGAGCATAAAATAATATATTGATTCTTATAAGCTTTTAATCTTTGTTTTTCGTTTGTTTCATTTATAGATCCTTATACCTTATTCACAGGAAAAATAAAAAATAAAAAGGAGAGAAAGAGAAATAGAAAAACAAATTCTTGGATTAATGAAGTTGTCGGATTTTTTCCTTTTCTGTCAGTGTGGTCCGGAATATTGCAGAAAAGTTTCGCCACAATGTTGAAGGCTATAGAAACATGTAAGTGATGTTTATACTTCTCATGTACCCCATATTATTATCTGGCAATGCTTGATCATCTCTTCTTCATATATTAAATTCTTTAATGTCAAATGCTGTTTTTCCCCTCATTTTTTCTCTACCTAGTTGTGAATTAGTCATTAACTTTTTAAAGGTAGAAGACTACCTCTTTTTTGCGTGCAAACTAGGGTTCGACATAATGCGTTTTTTCATGTGTTTGATAGAAAAAAAAAATGCTGTTTTTGGATGGTTAAACTATGTTTAAACGCTCATGTAGATAGCTCACAGAAGGAATTTTGATATGACATTTTCTGGTTAAAGTTAGGCCACTTGCATGTGGTGGGTAGAAAAGGTTTGCAGTTTTGAGATGGTTTATTTATGTTTAAACGCTTATGGAGAAAGATGACAGAAGGAATTTTGATATGAAACTTTCAAAGTGAAGCTTAGGCTTTTAGGGTTGGGTTTGGATCAGATGTCAAAATGAAAAGTTAGAGAGAGTTGATTGGTGTTTGGCAATCAAAGCACTAGTTTTTTGGTTGCTTTTGGGGAAGGAGGGAGGAATATTTTGCAATTTACGAGGCCTGCTATAGAGGTTTAAAATTGGGTTGCCATATCTTCTGTTGGACTGGACTAAGTTGCTCTGCTGTAGACAAGCTTGGCAGCAGACATTTTAGGACTAATGAATTGTAAGAAGAAATATGCCTTGTATAAATTACTGGTTTAGTTTCTCATCCATTGCAAGCATATGCAGAAGTCACCACTGAAATTGTTATACGTGAACTTGATCAGATATACTGACCAATCTTTGCAAGAAGTTGTGATCAGCTTCCGGCATCTGGAGCAGTTCTATTTTGTGGATAAGAATAGTCATCTGGCCTGCCTTTCTATTATAAATTTTTTTTCATGTTCTCATGGTCCCTATGAATTGAGGGTATCTATTTTCTGCAGCACATTTGTGATAGAAAGTTAATTTCTTCTTTATGTTGTTTGGCTAAAGATGATTAGAAATTCCTATAAAGTTTCTTACGGCCATGATTCGTGAACGGCATAGGGCAACTTGCTTTTCATCATAAACTGCACCACCCTAAACATTTGTAAGTTTGGGACACTGCTATGAAGTCATCCTGTGTACAACTTAATTGTTGAAATATAATCGTTGTTGGAAATGTATAATGAGCCTTTTCTAAAGATTCATTACAAAAATTACATCTTTTCTGTTTTCCATAGATTATTGTCCCTGACAAGTTTTAGTTTGGATATGATTGCTTGTATGCTTACCCTGAGTTTTATGATGCACATGGCTTCACAATAATTGGAATTTTTTGTTCCACAGGCCAAGAGCTTGGCTAGCTTCCCTGACTCTGGATTATCATAACGGGACCTTTGGGTGAGTGAGAACAGCACCCTTGTGCCTGTGTTTTAGAACCTTGCATGTGCGTTGCTATGTTTTTGTATCCCTTGTTTACATTTATCCCTGTGCAATGTGTCTTACTCGTAGTTACGCTCCATTACGATATCCGGACAAGTAATAATCTTTTCTGTTCATTGACTGTCTGACGCCTATATAATTTCGTTTTGCAAATTCATGTCCCACGTGGAAATTATGACCAACATATGAACCTACAAGTTGAAATTCTTCCATGTGTGGTTTTGGCTGATGATGATAAGAATATCGACTTTCTTCCTCATGGTTATATAGTTGTACTTGCCAGCTTGCCTTTAATTTATCTATGAACCATTTTTCACAGTTTAACATTCTAGAATGCCTTTTAGAAATATACTTGGTAAGGACCATTTTGTGGAGAATATGATATATCATGAGGTATTAAACTTATGGAGTTTGATATCTCTATAAATTAAATCCTGGTTTAGGGGAGGTTTATAACCAAAAACAGAGCAACTATGCATAGAGGGCTAAATTGTCAATTTTGATCTCATTTTGTGATCCTGATCTTTCATTGTGTTTATTGAGTCTATTGTTGATTGCGAATTTCTGTTGATGTCTGGACAGTACTTGTAATATTCTTTTTCTTTTCAGTCTTAAATATAATACGGTCATGTTGTTCAATTCATTTTCTATTCTTATTGGTTGTTTAATACTGCTCTAGGCTTTTAAGAACTACTGTTTCCTGTCTTGATTACTAGAGATGCAACAGAAAGATCATATGTTACTGCTCCCTGTTCTTCGTCTTCATATAATGAAATTGAAGTTGATACTAGAGGTCCTCATGTGACGCCTATTTATGAGATGGTTGATTGTGGAAAGATTGTCAACCATGCTTTATCTGCACTGAAAAGGCTCAATAAACAGATGGTCAGTCCCCGCCCTCTGCGTACCTCTTTGTCCATTTTAACTTCATGTGACTAGTACAGACTACAGAGTTTAAGCTGGTTTTCTTGCAGGGTAAAGAAACGTGTCTTAAGGAGGTGCTGCATGCAAGCAAAGAAGAAGTCGACGGCAAGGTCTATTACATTTTATTGTTGAAGGCAATGAATGAACAAAAGGAGTTCACTTTCTTGTATGCCATAGCTGAAGTGTCACAAATCAAGGAAGAGCTGATCAAATGGCATGTTGTTGATGAATTATGTTCTGACCCTCTTGAAATCAACAAGGTAGTTGCATTCATATGTGTTCTTTTAAAGGATTTACATTGGATTTATGTGAAGCACCTTCAAAAATTTTCCTTGAAAACGCCCTTCCTGTCAAAACTTGAGTGTTGTTTTTGATTCTGTGAACACAGAATTTCAAATAGTACTCAAATTTTGGGTCAGTAGAGTTTTAAATATGTTAAATGTTACTTCGGAAATCAGTTTCTGCACCTATGGTTTCCTTAAAAGAAATTTACGCTGCTATTTTGACCCTTATGACATTGGTTTGCATTTTGCAGATTGCCGCCGAGAAAATACTCCCCCACCCCAAAAAAAAAGTCCATAATTCTCGAAACTCAATCTGGACTACTTGTTTGAGGCAGAATGGGTAAGAGGTATGTGCATATTGGAAGAGAATAAATGTCAGATGGACTGCATAAGATAAACTATTGAGAGTTGATGTTAGCCCGGCTCAGTTTGCTTTCCAGACTTTTTTCCTTCTTTTTTTTTTTTGGTTTTTGTCTTTATAATTACTTCATGGAAAATAAGCTAACGTTGTTTTTCAAGCAAACCATACAAAACATTACTGTCCAAGTTATATCTGTAACTACAGTTGCCGTAGCTAATCCATGCATAATTTTTACAAAATCAATCATATAAACCTGCCTTAGCGGAATAATCATGGGTCATCTCGATAATACGAATACCTTAACGTTGGACTTAGTTGAATTAGGGGAATTGATTACAAAAAAAAAAAAAAAATCAGACAAAACTAGATTTATTTTGCATTTAAGGTAGAAGTTGCTAATTCCGGTTTAGTTTCTATTTTGAGCTAAGGGGCTGTAATAATTAGCCTTGTGATCATAGTTATCAAATCGTGATACGTATCGTGTATCGGAAATCTAAATTTATGATACGCGTATCGTATCGTGTATTGTATCGTAAGATACGTTTTAATATAATAATATATATAATAAATAATAAATATCATAAAATCCATATGTCATTGATATATTTATACTTTTTTATTTTTCAGCTATAAACAAATAAATTGATTAAGTTGAATTCAAGATTATTTGAAAGTTACACAAATTACTCATTACAAGAATAATGGTCGTACAACTTATGTAATAAATATCATTTTTTATGATAATTGTCATTATAGTCATAAAATTTAATAATGAGAAAATTAATATAAACATGTATTGCATTTATTCAACATGCTATTAGTTATACTTGATTTGGAAAATGATATTATGAATAAAATAATATTTTTAAATATATTATTTTTAGACTATGATAATTTATTAAGCACTTCTGTCTTCAATTGAGAAAGATTATGTTTGTGAAAGAAATAAATCAATAATATCTATTTAAAACAAATTGTAAACGAAATTCGCTCTTAATCTAAAATTTAAACGGTTATTATAAAACAAAAGTTTAAATTTTTTTGAATAATATTTTTTTTTTGCCTATGTTTTTGTATCGTACGATACGATTGCGTATCGTGTATCATATGTATCGTACGATATGTATCAATAATTGACCGATACACAAACGATTGCGATACATAACATGATACGTATCGAAATCCTTAATTTTGATACGTATCGTGCGATACGTATCGCGTATGGTACGATACTTCCTACTATGCTTGTGATGATGATTCTAATCATAAAATAATAATGAACTGATTCTTCTTCTGGAATCTTCTTTTTTATCTCATCTCGGATTCTGTTTCTCCTCTCTTCTCAACCTCCTTTCTGTTACTTCCGGCAACTCCGATTATACCCTCCGGTTAACGGAAACTCCACTTCCGGCCAGCGATACCTCACAGCTTGTTGTCAAACCAATTACTGTATAGTCAGTCTTCAAGCTTCTTGAACCTGGATTCAATCAAGGACCCTCTTTGTTTGTTTATAAACCTTGTGCGCGCCAAAACCCCTGCCTCAGGCCTCAATATAATATCAATTCCAAAGTAATTAGGGCTTTCCTGGTCAGTTCAAATTGGCGAATCAACTTTGTGATTGCTGTAGTGTAGTGTTTGTAGGACCTGCACTTCTGAAATTAATTTTTACTCCAAAAATACTAATCTAAATAAACAAAGCATACACTTGATATCCATTAGCCAGGAATTCTTCAACTGAAATCCATTGCCATCTCGGAAATGTCGCTCTGATTAGGCTCTTCCGGTTGTGTGTGACTGTGTGTGGTGGTAGGAGTTTGGATGTATCCGTGTCAACTTCAAGCGTTGACTTAGGCCCACAAATTCTATCACTCTTTTTTCTTTTTTTTCTTCTTAAAACAGAATTCCATTTCGTCATCATTCTTTTTCATCATTATTGTAATCCTTGGAGTGCCTGAAATTTGCTGGGAATTTTGCAAATTAAAGCTTTATATATATGAATTCTTTTGGTGAAAATATTCGATCTATGTGAAAACCCCATCTCTTTTGGGTGAGTTTTTGTTCAATGCACCAGCAAAGCTGAGTTTTTTACCAAAAAATTATTTAAAACATACCCTGGACAAAAATAATGTGGGTCTAAATTAGATGAACAATACTAGTTGTCTCGAATTTGCCAAATTCGAGAGTACCGTACAATCGGATTTCACAAATCCGAGATCACAGAAACTCAGATTAGTGTAATTCGAGACTTTAATAAAATAAAATTACTTAAATTAAATTAAAAACTTAATTTAAACTAATCAAGAATCGGATTTCGCAAATCCGAGAGTCAGCAATAAAAAAATATTTTTTATTTAGAAAAATATTCTGAGTGTTCGAAAATAAAAGTTGACTAGAAACGGATTGGCCAAATCCGTAATATTTAAATTTAGATATCGGAAATCCAAAACTTTATCATAAAAAACTAAAAAAAAAATCTAAGTCGTAAAAATAAAAGGGAAGAGACCCTAAATCAGAAGGCTTGTAATAAATACTTAATTATTTTTCGGAAAAAAATCTAAGTGTTCAAAATATAAAGCACATTGAACTAAATTGATACCAATATCTCAAATTTATAATTCTTGTAATGCTCATATACCCACACAAGACATATTGAACTAAACTCGGATTTGAGAAAGTTTGGTCATGATCTTAATTCTACCGGCAACAGAGCTACTATAGCCATCATCACACACAGTGTCACAGTGAGGAGAACAGATTACATTGATGCTAATTGTTTAAAAAATAGAAGGGAAAGAGACTCGGATTTCGGTAATCCGAGTTGTTTAGAAAATGCTTACTTTCGGATTTGCGAAATCCGAGTTCATTATTTATTTATTAAATTTTTAAACATTCCTACGATAAATAAATTTTTAAATTTTCCCGCCCTTCATTTTTTTAAAATAAAAATATTTTTTCGAATCTCCCGGATTTGAGACATCCGAACGAAAATCCTAAACCCTAAAAGTCGGATTTTGGAAATCCGAGTTTAAGCTAAACTCGAAAATCCGAGTTTAAGATAAACTCGAATTTCGGTAATCTGAGTTTAAACTAACTTCGGATTGTAGAAATCCGGTTTTATCTGAACTCGGATTTGGGAAATCCGAACCTAAACCCTAAACCCTATGGCTTGATTTTGAAAATCAAATTTTTTGGTTAACTCGGATTCTAAAAATTTGATTAGTTGCTTAAAAGATACTAGTACAGATGAATTACATTGAATTAATGATCATATTTAATAACTAATAAATTTAACAATAATAAGTAACATTGGTACCAGTAATTTATAATAGGTAATAGTATTAATATACTATGTAATACTAGTACGTATATAAAGTACATAACACTAGTACATATGTATTATTCTGAATTAATTAATGATAATATCTAATGACTAAAAGATTAACATTAATAAGTAGCACTAGTACCACTCATGTATAGTGGGTAATAGTATTAATGTACTATATAATACTAGTACATATAAAAAGTACTCTCTCCATTTCAAAATAAGTGTCATTCTAGAGTTTGCACACAGTTTAAGAAACACTTAATATGGTAGTTAAATTACTATAATATCCTCAACCAACCCCATTAAAATAATGCACACCAATAATATTATTTTCTTTTGAGGATATGTTTGGAAATTTTTGACCAAAAATGCATTGGGATATGAAAACGACACTTATTTTAGAATTTCTTCATTTTACTAAAGCGACACTTATTTTGGAATGGATGGAGTACATAACAGTACTAGTACATATGAACTATTCTGAATTAATGATAATATCTAATGACTAATAAATTTAACAGTAATAAGTTACACTAGCACCAATAATGTATAGTGAATAATAGTTATTAATGTACTGCATAATACTATTATGTATAAAAAGTACATAATACTAGTACATATGAATTATACTTAATTAATGATAATATCTAACGACTAACGAATTTAACAGTAATAAGTAACACTCATATCAATGATGTGTAGTGGGTAATAGTATTAATATACTACATAATACTAGTACGTATAGATAGTACATCAATGATACAAAATTAATTTAATTCAAATTCCTATTAGTAAATTCTTATCAGATAGTACATCAATTACAATACATTAGCAACATATATTTTTCATCAATTTAATGTAAATTCCTAGTAATTATTAATGAAAGATTTTATTAATATCATATCTAATACAATATTTTTTATTTTTTATTTTATTATAAGTTGATATGTCAATTTAATGCGAATTTCTATCAAAAATCATTTTTCAAAGTTTTTTGCACTAAAAGATTTTTTTTTAAAAAAAAAGGTAGTTCGAATTTCCGAAATCCGATTTCACTGTTCATTTATCAAATTTTCAAACTTTCCAACCATAAATAAAATTTTAAATTTTCCCGCCCTTCAATTTTTTTTTTAAAAGAAATTATGTTGGGGAAGCTCTCGGATTTCGAAAATCCGAATTTACTGTACACATTTTGACCTTGGTTCCTTTTTTTCAAAATAACAAAAAAAAAATTAATATTTTATTATTTTTTATTGTTTCGGATTTAGCAAATCCGAAAGTACGATTAATTAGACTCTCAGATTTGCCAAATCCGAGACAACTACTTATATAAGTTGTTGGGGAGTTTTCACAAAGTTTAAGGAGGCATTAAATACTCTGTTAAAATACTGAATTGTCCTCATTTACTTCAATGAAATTTTATTTCTAATAATATTTAACTCTAATACAATTTTACTTTCAATACAACTACAATTTCCCATGTAAGGGCAATACTGGAAAAAATTGACAAAACATGCCTCGTTTTGTGAAAATGACATATATTTTAGAAAATTTAAGTTTTTCTCCAACAACATATATTTTGAAATGGAGGGAATATTTTTTTCTTTCTTTTTGTATATTCTAGAAATGGAGGAGTCGGAAAAGGGGGCACAATAAAT